AGTGAATAAAAAATCTGATGAACAGAATAAAGTGGTGAATAGAATATAATCAGGGGCATAGAAAGGGAGTGGATTGACAATTCTCTGGAGGAAGGGGGTGTGGGAAGAGACTGGACAAAAATCATACACCAATGGACGAGGACAGTGGGGAGGGTAAGGGCAGGAGATGGGGTGGGAACCGGGTGGAGGGGAGCTATGGGGGGAAAAAGAGGAACAACTGTAATAATCTGAACAATAAAGATTTATCAAAAATAAAAATAAAAAAATTCTACTCCCTTGAATGATCTGTTTATTACATACCAGAGCTACATAGTTCCTTTGTTTTGTTATTATTAATCCTCACCAGAGGATATTTTTTACATTGATATTTAGAGAGAGTTTAAGGGAAGGGGGAGGAGGGGAGAGAGAGAGAGAGAAACATTGATGTGAGAGAGACACATCAATTGGTTGCGTCCCACACGTGCCACGACCGGGGTCCAGGGATCGAACCTGCAACCCAGGTACGTGCCCTTGACTAGACATTGAACCCACCACCCTTCAGTGCGCAGGCCAGCGTTCTAACCACTGAACATACAGGCCAAAGCAGTGCTAAATCGCTTTAGTGATAGAGGCTTTGTAATGTATAGTATTTTACTATCTGTTTACAGTGAGTCCCTCTCCTACTTGCTTGCATTATTTTTCTAGATATTGTTGCAGATTAATTTTTTCATGTGAACTTTACTAGGAGTATCGGTTAATAATGCGGATTTTGTAATCAAAGAAAACGATAATTTCAAGAGAAACATCAAAAGTTCTTTATTCAAAGTAATGTCCATCGCTAGCTACACATTTCCCCCATCTTTCAGGTAATTTGTGGGTACCGTCCCAATAGAACTTCTCTTGTTTTGAGGAAAACCATTCAGAGACCCAATTCCACTTCTTCGTGTGTTTTGAAGTGCTGCTCAGAAAGTGCGTGTGCCATTGATCGGAACAAGTGGTCATCTGAAGGAGCAAGGTCTGGTGAATACGGTGGGTGGGTTCATACTTCCCAGGCAAGATCTTTTAACGTACCTTTAACTGGTTTTGAAGTGTGTGATGGTGCGTCATCATGAAGCAAAATTACTTTGCCATGTCTTCTGGCCCATTCTGGTCATTTTATGATCAAAGCGTGGTTCAAATTGATTATTTGTTGCCGGTAGCGATCAGTATTAACGGTTTCACCTGGTTTTAGAAGCTCATAATACGCCACACCTTCCTGATCCCACCAAACACAGAGCATTGTCTTCTTTCTGAAGCGATTTGGCCTTGCAGTCGATGTTGATGGTTGACCTGGATCAACGCATGATTTTGTGCCTTTGTGATTCTCAAAATAAATCCACTTTTCATCGCCAGTCACAATTCGATGCAAAAAAGTCTTTTTTTCGTGCCATTGAAGCAACATTTTACTGATGACTTTTCAGTTTTTCCATTTGTCTTTCCTTCAGTTGATGTGGCCCCCATTTTCCTTCCTTTACAATCTTTCCCAGTGCTTGTAAACGATCAGAAATTGTTTGCTGAGCGAAGTTTAATCTTTCTGCAAGTTGTTTTTGAGTTTGACACGCACCTTCATCCAATAACGCTTGTAATTGTTGGTCTTCAAACTTTTTCGGTTGACCTGGATGTTCCTTGTCTTTCACGTCGAAATCATCACTTTTAAAGCGTTTAAACCAGCGTTCACAAGTATCTTGAGATGGAGCATGTTCACCATAAGCTTCCTGAAGTATATGATAACTTTTTCTTCAAAATAAAGTAATGAATTAAAACTTCCTGCAAATGCTGTTTTTTGGCATGAAATTCGACATTTTTAAGCGTAAAAATATCTATGATGTTAACACCTTCAGGAAATTTGACATATGAAGTTTTGAAGCTTGCTGTCAATGCAGCAAAATAGCATACACATCAAATCGCATATATTTCAGCATAGTATGTGTAACTCCATCGATTGAAAAAAATCCGCATTATTAACCAGTACACCTAGTAGTGTCTGTCTGTCTAGCTCCATAGAAAGGTATCCTTATTGAGAATTTTTATTATGCTGAGATGTCCTATTCAAGAACAAGGGATTTTTAAGTCTTTTGTGTCTTTTAGGAGATACAGTTTTTTCATATAAGTTTTGAATATTCCTTGTTAAGTTTATTCCTAAATAGCTTATTGTCTTCATGGCTATTGAAATAGGGTTTTCTCATGTATTGTTTCTTTAATGAGTTACTTGTGGGTATGGAGGCTATTGGTTTTTGCGTGTTAATTTTTATATCATGAAACCTTGGCCATGTCTTTGATTGATTGGGTTGGTTTTATCATTGATTCTCATAGAATTTTCCAGGCATATTCTCACAGAATCAGCAAATAAGGATAGTTTGCCTCTTTCCCACGTCTTCACTGTTAATTCTGTTCTGTGTTCCAGTTGCACTGGCTGATCCCTCCAACAGAATGTTAAATAGCCATGTAGATCGCATGTGCTTGGCATTGCTGGTGGGAATGCCTCCAGTCTTCCTTACTGAACAAGGTGCTGGCTTTAGTCCTGAAGTGTGATATTTGACTTTGATTAATTCAGTAATCTTTGGGCATTTTGATTTATAATGGGAGGCAGCTGGTACCATCCATCCTCCCCCTGAGCTCTGGCTAGAACAGCTGTGGGCAAACTATGGCCCGCAGGCTGGATCCGGCCCGTTTGAAATGAATAAAACTATTGAAAAAAAAGACTGTACCCTTTTATGTAATGATGTTTACTTTGAATTTATATTAGTTCACACAAACACTCCATCCATGCTTTTGTTCCGGCCCTCCGGTCCAGTTTAAGAACCCATTGTGGCCCTCGAGTCAAAAAGTTTGCCCACCCCTGGGCTAGAAAATGGGAAATGAAATCTGTCAGGTAGGGAAGGGAGAGGTGGGGTTCCTTTGCTTCTTTACTTCCACCAACATCACTTTACCCTTCAAACATATACAGGTATTGCTTTTCTGAGGACTCTCAAACTCATGTAAAATATATATATATACTAGAGGCCCGGTGCACAAAAATTTGTGCACTCGGGGGGAAGGAGGGGTCCCTCAGCCCGGCCTGTGCCCTCTCGCAGTCTGGGACCCCTCAGGAGATAACGACCTGCTGGCTTAGGCCTGCTCCCGGGTGGCAGAGGGCAGGCCCAATCCCTAGGTGCAGCCCCTGGTTGGGCTCAGAGCAGGATCGATTGGGGAGTTGGGGCGCCGCCCCCTGTCATGCACAGAGCAGGGCGGATTGGGAGGTTGCGATGCCACCCTCAGTCACGCTCAGGGTAGGGCTGATTGGGGGGTTGGGGCACCGCCCCCTGTCACACTCAAGGCAGAGTCGATGGGGAGGTTGTGGCGCCACCCCCTGTCACGCACAGAGCAGGGCCCATCAGGGGGTTGAGGAGCTCCCCCCTGTCACTCACAGAGTAGGGCCGATAGGGGAGTTGGGGCACCGCCCCCTGTCACACACAGAGCAGGGCGGATCAGGGGGTTGGGGCGCCGCCACTGTCACACTCAGGGCAGGGCTGATGGGGAGGTTATGGCGCTACCCCATCACACACAGAGCAGGGCCCGTGGGGGGAGGGGGTTGGGGCGCCACCCTCTATCACCCACAGAGCAGGGCTGATCAGGGGGTTGGGGCGCCTTCCCCTGTCACGAACAGAGCAGGGCAGATAGGGAGGTTGTGGCCCCACCCCGTCATACACAGAGCCGCAGGGCGATCAGGGGGTTTGGGCGCTGCCCCCTGTCACGCTGATCCCGGTGCTGGGAGGCCTTTCAGCTCCCCTGATCCCGGTGCTGGGAGGCATATTACCCTTTTACTATATAGAATAGAGGTCTGGTGCATGGGTGGGGGCTGGCTGGTTTGCCCTGAAGGGTGTCCTGGATCAGGGTGGGGGTCCCCACTGGGGTGCCTGGCCAGCCTGGATGAGGGGATGATGGCTGTTTGCAGCTGGTCACACACCCTGTTTTCAGGCTGTTTTCAGGCTGGAACTGAAGCTCCCAACTGCTCCTTTTTTTCTTTTTTCTTTTTATTCTGGGCCAGCTTTAGCTCTGAGGCTCCAGCTCTTAGGCCTCCGCTCCTGAAAGCAGGTATCTGGTTTGTTTCGGTTCTCGAAACTCTGTATCAACTCCAGCTCTGAGATCCCAGCCGGCTGAAAGCAGGTTTCTGGAGTTTTGTTTAGCGTCCGTATTTGTTACAGTATTTGAAACTGCAGGCTCAGAGGCCTGCAGGGGAAGGCGGGGAACATTGCAGTCCTCCGTCACTGAAGCAAGCAAGCCTCATGTTAGTTTCAAGCTGCCTGGCTGCTGGCTGCCATCTTGGCTGACAGTTAATTTGCATATCTCCCTGATTAGCCAATGGGAAGGGTAGCAGTCATACGCCAATTACCATGTTTCTCTTTTATTAGTGTAGATATATAATAAAAGTGTAATATGCTAATTAGACCGGACGTCCTTCTGGACAAAGCCCGGGCTGCGAGGGAAGCCCAAGTCCTGGGTGCCTGCTGGAAGCCGGAGGGAAGCATGGGTCCCGGGTGCCAGAGGGAAGTTGGTACTGGCAGCGGGGGAAGGCCTACTCTTGCACAATTTTCATGCATTGGGCCTTCAGTGTGTGTGTGTGTGTGTGTTTTTGATTGATTGATTTCAGAGAGGAATGGAGAGGGAGAGGGAGATAGAAACACCAATGATGGGAGAGAATCACTGACTGGCTGCCTCCTGCATCCTGGGCATGTGTCCTGACCAGGAATTGAGCCATGTCCTCCTGGTTTATAGGTCGACGCTCAACCACTGAGCCACCATGACTGGGGAAGCATGTTGTCCCAGCCCTATTCTCTTATTCAGATCACCACCCAGATTAGGGGATGGGCAGTTCTTTTCTAAGAGAGCCCTGGAATGCCTGCCTCCTGTACTTTTCACCTTTTCCTGGAATACCCCTCACCCCACCCCATGCTGCCACATGCCTTTGTGATGATGGCTGCTGTTCTCTCTTCTCTCCCTAGGTGCATGGCTACTTCCTAATCCCAAAGCCCAGAGGACACATCCCTAGAACTGTGCGGGTGAGGCCGGCCAGCAGGGCAGCTTGAGCGCCCCTCTCGTGGCTCCCCGCGGGGGCCAGGATGCTGAAGAAGCAGTCTGCAGGTCTTGTGCTGTGGGGCGCCATCCTCTTTGTGGCCTGGAACGCCCTGCTGCTGCTCTTCTTCTGGACGCGCCCTGTGCCCAGCAGGCTGCCCTCAGACAGCGCTCTGGATGATGACCCCACCAGGCTCACCCGCGAGGTGATCCGCCTGGCCGAGGACACCGAGGTGGAGCTGGAGCGGCAGCGGGGGCTGCTGCAGCAGATCTGGGAGTACTCTGTGCGGCGGGGCCAGCGGTGGAGGGTGCCCACTGCCGTCCCACCTGTGCCGCCACGAGGGCCTGTGACCTTGCCGCCAGCTGTGATCCCCGTCCTGGTCATCGCCTGTGACCGCAGCACTGTCCGGCGCTGTCTGGACAAGCTGCTGCACTATCGGCCCTCAGCTGAGCGCTTTCCCATCATCGTCAGCCAGGACTGTGGGCACGAGGAGACAGCTCAGGTGATAGCCTCCTATGGCAGCGCCATTACACACATCCGACAGCCCGACCTGAGTACTATTGCGGTGCCACCCGACCACCGCAAGTTCCAGGGCTACTATAAGATCGCGCGCCACTACCGCTGGGCACTAGGCCAGATCTTCCACAAGTTCAAGTTCCCCGCAGTGGTCGTGGTGGAGGATGACCTGGAGGTGGCCCCGGACTTCTTCGAGTACTTCCAGGCCACATACCCGCTGCTGAGGGCCGACCCCTCCCTCTGGTGTGTGTCTGCCTGGAACGACAACGGCAAGGAGCAGATGGTGGACTCGAGCAAGCCGGAGCTGCTCTACCGCACCGACTTCTTCCCCGGCCTGGGCTGGCTGCTGTTGGCCGAGCTGTGGGCCGAGCTGGAGCCCAAGTGGCCCAAGGCTTTCTGGGATGACTGGATGCGGCGGCCTGAGCAGCGGCAGGGCCGGGCCTGCCTGCGGCCGGAGATCTCCAGAACCATGACCTTCGGCCGCAAGGGTGTGAGCCACGGGCAGTTTTTTGACCAGCATCTCAAGTTCATCAAGCTGAACCAGCACTTTGTGCCCTTCACCCAGCTGAATCTGTCGTACCTGCGGCAGGAGGTCTATGACAGGGATTTCCTTGCCCGCGTCTATGGCGCCCCTCTGTTGCAGGTGGAGAAAGTGAGGACCAGTGAGCGGAATGAACTGGGGGAGGTGCGGGTGCAGTACACCAGCAGGGACAGCTTCAAAGCCTTCGCCAAGGCCCTAGGAGTCATGGATGACCTCAAGTCGGGGGTCCCCAGGGCCGGCTACAGGGGCATCGTCAGCTTTCTCTTCAGGGGCCGCCGTGTCCACCTGGCGCCCCCGCAAACCTGGGAGGGCTACGATCCCAGCTGGAATTAGTGCTGCCTGTCTCTCCCGGCCCCTTCCCTGCCACGGCACATGCTGAGACAGACTGCAGTCCTGGCTGCACCCTCCTCTCTGTGTCTCTCTTGGGTCCATTTATCTTTTTATTTTATTTTTGAGTGGCATTCGAGTGCACAAATGAGAAGGTGAAGATGACTCGCCCATTGAGAGGTTCAAATCAGGGGAAACTTTCTGGGGTACTTTGGGGGATGTTGAGCAAGAAGTCACTGTGTGGTAGGCAGAGACGGCTTGTTGGGGCCACATGCTTTCATGTGCCAATTTTTCTCCTAGGGCATCTGCAGAGAGGCTGGCAACTTGAGTTCTCTTGCCCAGGCCGCTTTTCCCTGTCCTGGCTCTCACAGCCAGGTATGGGCCCTTCTCTTGGGCCTGACCCCGCCCCCATTTGGAGGGGGAGCTGGGTCCGGTGAGAAGAGAACAGACAGATTTGTGGCCAGAACGAGACCAAGCAAAGGGGTTTTGTCATCTAGGTCTGGGCGGAGTTTGTTAGGTTGTCAGGGTTTATGCCTCCCGCCTATTTCCCCCCTCTTTTCCTCTCTCCTTATCACAGCTCTTCTTTCCCTGCAGCCTAGCAGTTATGATTCCAAGATGGAAAATTGAAGGGGAACAGTAAGACCTTCACCAGAGCCCTGGCCAGTTTGGCTCCTCCCTGGCAGTGGGGGGAAAGGGGATGGGGGGAAGCTTGGTGTGCGGGGCACCCTCTCTTATCCTGCCTCGAAGAAACAGAAGCTGCCCCTCAGCCCATCCTGTCTGCAAGCGGGTCCTTTCCTGTCATTCCAGGAGGGTTCTGAGCCGGCTTGCTGGGAGGGAGGTTAGCTCCTCCCTGAGACCTTGGCTTTTAGAGGTCCCCTCAGTGTGAGGCAAAGCAGCCAGGACAGGATGACCCACACAACCCTCCTTCCTGTGCCCACCCCACCCCTCAACACCCTGTATCTGTTCAGGTTAGGATGCAGATGGGGGCTTGGAGAGCAATGTCTGTGCTTTTGTTTCTTGCGCGACCTCAGTTCATGGAAGAAAGTTGAAGCTGCAGAATTATTTTCAAAAATAAAAGGCTGAATTGTCTGAAAAACGTGTGTATGTGTCCTGGAAAAGGAGATGAGGGTGGAGGAGGAAAGAAAGAGGGGGAATGAAGATTACAGGAAGGCTGAGCCGGCAAGAGGAAGTGCATCGGCAAGAGGAAGTGAGTGCATCGTTTGGAGGAAGGGAAAGCAGATGACGAGGAGGAGGGGGCAGAGCACAGGAAAGCTGCGGAGTCTGGGGTAAACCGAGTCCAGGCTTGAGTATGGACAGGACCCAAGACCATAATCATCTCTAGAGGGGGCCGTGGGGCTGCGGTGGGCTTGGGCTCCCTGTGAGCCTGGGCGGGAGGAGAGCCCAAGTGGGTGCTGTGTGCAGGGCGCCCTCTGCTGGCTCGGGCAGCATTTCTGGGCCTCGGGAACTGCCCTGACCTCCAGGATGCAGAGCTGATACTCCGTCGGCTTAAGAAACATTCCAGCCTGTAGGGAGTTTTTGTGAGTTTATTTGAGCCAAACTGACAATTGCCAGGAAGCAAAATCTCAGGGGATGGAGATAATGCTCCAGAGAATGGCAGTCTTGCATGTTATTTTCTACATTACAATCAAAAGAGAAGGCCTAAGTGGGTGGGTTACATGAAATCCTTGGTGACAGAGTAGGGGAGGTGGGAGAAAGCAAAGCGGGAAACCTGTGGGATTGCATAAAAAGTAAATGATAGACACATGCTGCTTTTACATAGGTGGGTGCAGGGCAGTTAACAGTCAACCATTAACTATAACAACGAGAGGATGTGTAGCGTCTGCCCTGAGCGGTCAGGAAAAAGGCAGGTTACCCTGACATTCCAAAGGTACAGGCTCAAGGTGAAAGTTGGCCTTTGTCAGGGAATGTTCTAGCCTAGGACATGACCACCCACCATAAACTGCTTTTAGTTAAAAGGTTTAATTTCAGCCCTGGCCAGTTTGGCTCAGTAGTTAGAACGTTGGCCTGCGGACCAAGGTTGAAGGGTTCAATTCCCAGTCAAGAGCACATACCTCAGTTGCATGTTTGATAGCCAGCCCTGGTTGGGGCACGAGCAGGAGGCAACCAATCAATGTGTCTCTCTCACAGATGTTTTTCTTTCTCCCTCTCTTTCCTTTTTCCCTTCCACTTTCTCTAAAAAATCAATGGAAAAAATATCCTCAGGTGAGGATTTTTAAAAACGTTTTAGTTTCAGACCATCCTATGTGGTTACTTTGAGTCTCTGTGTTTTTAAGGCTGCCATGCAGGCCTCCTCAGAGCCTGTCGGGTTTAGTTTGTGGCCCCTTTTCATGCACTCCTGGTAAGCTGTGGCAGTGACCAGGGCCCCTGTGTGAATGCCTTTTACACTGCCACTCAGAATGCACATACTGGCTAACGTTTTCTGGAACTTTCACCCATATCGTGTAATGCATTCCGAGAGTGTCTATTCGCCAGTTTGTTTAAATGCTGCTGTGACCTACCCACTTGATTTCATTAATGGATTTGAAAACTGCAGGCTTTGTTCACAGACACCATTCTGGAGCTTCACACCAGATGGGCCAGCGGTCAGTGGGCAATCACTTGGTCACTACCGGAGCAGTTGTGGCCCCTCTTCCGGGTTCAGGAATTCCCAGTGTGCTTGAAACCGGACCAGGAATGGGTCTGGGCTGCCTGTCACTACTTGAGCCAATTAAGCAGAGACAGGATTGAATAGAATATGAGCGTTTTTATTTTCCAATATTGCGGGCAGCATGGGAGAGCAGCAGGTCATCCACAAAAATCATTTCTGCTGTCTCCCCCTCTTTCCCTCTTAAGCTAGCTCATATAGTGGGTAGAAAGACAAAAATTACATGGGGAAGTAAGCAAAAGGAATAAGAATGGGTATAATGGTTACATACCACAGGCAATGTGGGCTGAGGGTTGCAAAGGGTGGGTACCTCCAAGACTCCATTGCTTTGGCAGCAAGGTTGTTAATCTTTCCTTGATAGGCAGTTCTCTTCTCTGATAAGGAGAATGGACCACGCATCACATTTCAACTCCCAGCCAGGTTAGAATGTGCTTGTTTTTTTTTTTTTATATCTTTATTGAGATTATTACAGATGTCCCTCTTTTTCCCCCCATAGCTCCCCTCCACCCGGTTCCCACCCCACCCCAGGCCCTTGCCACCCTCTTGTCTGTGTCCATAGGTACTGCATACATGCATATAAGATTTTTGTCTAATCTCTTCCCACACACCCCCACACCCACTTCCCTCTGAGAATTGTCAGTCTGTTCCATTTCCATGCCCCTGATTCTATTCCATTCACCAGTTTATTCTGTTCATCAGATTTTTTATTCATTTGATTTTTAGATTCACTTGTTGATAGATATGTATTTGTTGTCACTTTGTTGTTCATAATTTTTTATCTTTACCTTTTTCTTTCTCTTCCTCTTCTTAGAGAATACCCTTCAGCATTTCATATAATCCTGGTTTGGTGGTGATGAACTCCTTTAGTTTTTTCTTGTCTGTGAAGCTCTTTATCTGACCTTCAATTCTAACAGATAGCTTTTCTGGGTAGAGTAATCTTGGTTGTAGGTTCTTGCTATTCGTCACTTTGAATATTTCTTGCCACCCCCTTCTGGCCTGCATAGTTTCTGTTGAGAAATCAGCTGACAGTTGTATGGGTACTCCCTTGTAGGTAACTAACTGTTTTTCTCTTGCTGCTTTTAATATTCTCTCTTTGTCTTTTGACCTTGGCATTTTAATTATGATGTCTCTTGGTGTGGTCCTCTCTGAATTCCTCTTGTTTGGGGTTCTCTGCGCTTCCTGGACTTGTAAGTCTATTTCTTTCACCAGGTAGGGGAAGTTTTCTGTCATTATTTCTTCAAATAGGTTTTCAATATCTTGCTCTCTCTGTTCTTCTGGCACCCCTATAATTTGGATGTTGGTACGCTTGAAGTTGTCCCAGAGGCTCCTTACACTGTCTTCATATTTTTGGATTCTTTTTTCTTTTTGCTCTTCTGGTTGGGTGTTTTTTGCTTCCTTGTATTTTAAATCATTGACTTGATTCTTGGGATCCTCTAGTCTGCTGAATCTCTGTGTATTATTCTTTATTTCAGTCAGTGTATGCTTAATTTCTGACTGGTCCTTTTCCACTTTTTTGGCATTCTCACTAAGATCCTTGAAGGTCCCACTAAGTTCCTTGGAGGTTTCTAGAAGATTCTTGAGTAACCTTATAACTGTAGTTTTGAACTCTGTATCAGTAGTTTGCTTTCTTTCATTTCTTTCATTTGTGACGTTTCTTTTTGCTGCTTCCCTGTGTTTGTTTCTATGTATTGGGTAGCTGCTAAGTCTCCTTGAGTTGATAGAGTAGCCTTGTGTAGTAAGTGTCCTGTAGGGCCCAGTGGCTCAGCCTCCCCAGTCACCTGAGATGGACACTCTTGGTGCACCCCTTCGTGGGCTGTGTGCACAGTCTTGTAGTTGAGCCTTGATTGCTGTTGGTATCACTGGGAGGAATTGACCTCCAGGCCAATTGTCTGTGGGAACCAGCTGCGACTACAGTGGAAGAGCTGCTGTGCAGGAGACACCTTTATGGGTCAGGAGTTGCTTCAGTGGGGCTTTGGTGCTCACTGAGTCTGCCCTTTGAGTGTGTCGCTTATGGATGTGTAATCTTGTATGGTCTCCCACTCAGCACTGGGTACACGTTCTTGGATCTCCAAGGAGGTGCAAAGTCAACTACTGCCTAAGGCCACCCAGCAAGAGCTACAGAGAGATCTGCAGATTTCTCCTCTTTGTATCAGGTTTGGAAGTGCCCAGATGAGGCACAACTGTGAAGCAAGGCAGGCTGGTGCTGGTGCTGGCCTTGGGCCTTTTATTGATATAGTTGGGGCTCCCTGACCCAGCTGCAGCTTGTTTGACAGGTTTTAGGCTGAGAAAGGACAGGCCATTCATATGCAAAAGCTGCTGTGCACAGCTTGGGTGGGGTTGTAAATTCAGAGGGGCAGGGTCTCAGGGAATCTCCAGGGCAGAGTGAACAGATGTCTGCCAGTCAGCCCTGCACCAGGGAGGTCCCAGCACAGGAACAATGACACTGAAAGCACTGCTGTCTGGAAGAAAGCCGCCCCTGCGTTCTTGCCCTGATGCCAGACAGTCCAGTTTCTCCCCGTACCTGTCTGGGTCCCCAGAGCCTCGCCTGACACTGGAGCTCAGAGCAAGTGGGAGCTTGTAAATTCAGTTCGTGGAGCTGGCCTTTTAAGAGGAGCAGCTGGGTCTCCAGCAGCCTGTGTGTCACTCAGCCCCAATCCATACTTGTTTTTACAGTCCGTAGTTCTTACTGCCTGTAGGGACTTCTTTTCCCAGCTCTGGAACCCTGGGCTGGGGGTCTGGTGTGGGGCTGGGTCTCCTTGCTCCTCCAGGCAGCCTCCAAAGAGGCGATCTCCCTCCTGATTAAAGAAGCGGCACACCGGGGTGCCAGCCCGGTCTGTGCCTCTGCACCTCCCGCCAGTCTCAGTGCACTTTCTTCTTTACTTCTCCAGTTGTAGGACTTCCACTCGGCCAGCTTTCCTGTGGCTCTGGATGGTAGTTGTTCTGTATTTCAGTTGTAATTTTGATGTGGTTGTGGGAGGCAGCAAGTATAGGCGTTTGCCTATGCCGCCATCTTGGTTCCTCCCAGAATGTGCTTTCTTTAATCAGAACAAAAGCACAATTGACAGAGCCAACCGGGCGGTGGTCAAACCGCAACCCAGACACATACAAATACCCTTGATGGGGAATCAAACCTGGACGACCCCTCGGTGCAGGCTGACGCTGTAACCACGGAACCCACCGGTCAGGGCAATGTGCTCCCATGTTTAACGTGCAGGTGGCTGGCTCAGAGAAGCGGGCCATGGCCTGGTCTGGTGGGGCTCACAGACGCCAGCTGTGTGCCCTGGAGGCTTCTGGCAAGCGACAAGGAGAGCGGGGTCGTGCCCTGCCCGAGTGGCACCAGGAGGACCCTCTGCCCCTCCTTACCCTGTGATGAGCCCACACCTGTCCTGGCCTGTGCCCTCCTTCCGGGGGGGTCTCCAGAGACCCGCTGT